CAAAAAAAAACGACCATGTATAGTAAGGCGATTTTAGCCCAAAAAAACCGACCATGTATAGTAAGGCGTTTTCAGACGAAAAAAAAAACGCCCATGTCTAGTCAGGCATTTTTAGCCGAAAAAGACGACCAGGAATAGTAAGGCGTTTTTAGCCGAAAAAAACTGACCATGTATAGTCAGGTGTTTTTCGCCGAAAAAAAAATGGCCATGTCTATTAAGTTATTTTTAGCCGAAAAAAACGACCATGTATCGTAAGGCGTTTTTAGCCGAAGAAAAACCGACCATGTCAAGTAAGGCATTTTTAGCAGAAAAAAACGACCATGTATCGTAAGGCGTTTTTAGCCGAAAAAAAACACCATACATGGTACGACGTTTTTAGACGAAAAAAACAACCATGTGTAGTAAGGCGTTTTTAGACACAAAAAAACACCCATGTCTAGTAAGGCATTTTTAGACGAAAAAAAACGACCATGTAGATAGTAAGGCGTTTTTAGCCGAAAAAAAAACGACCATGTATAGTAAGGCGTTTTTAGCCCAAAAACACGACCATGTGTAGTAAGGCGTTTTTAGCCCAAAAAAACGACCATGTATAGTAAGGCGTTTTAGCCGCAAATAACGACCTTGTATAGTAAGGTGTTTTTAGCCGAAAAAAACGACCATATATAGTGGGGTTTTTAGCCGAAAAAAATGACCATGTATAGTGAGGCGTTTTATTCCGAAAAAAACGATGATGTATCGAAAGCCGTTTTTAGACGAAAAAAACGACCATGTATAGTCAGGCATTTTTGGCCGAAAAAAAACGCCCATGTCTAGTAAGGCATTTTTAGCCGAAAAAAACGACCATGTATCGTAAGGCGTTTTTAGCCGAAAAATAACGACCATGTATAGTAAGGTGTTTTTAGCTGAAAAAAATGACCACGTATAGTAAGGCATTTTTAACCGAAAAAAACAACCATGCATAGTAAGGCGTTTTTTGACGAAAAAAACGACCATGTATAGCATGGGTGTCATACTCATTTCACATTGTGGGCCACATTGGGCCTCGCTCGATGTCAAGTGGGCCGGACCATTAAAAATTACACCATACTCTGCTATAAATAACCAAAATATGTCTTTCCTTTGTTTTTTTCTAAAGATGCACAAGCACACTATGAAAATGTTGAAATTTAATTAACATATCTGTCACAAAAACTTTCATGAAGCACCTAAGATTTCCTTAGACAAATGTGCAATTTACTTTTTTCATTCACATACAGTCAAACCTTGGTTTTC